TTCCGCGGTCCCTTTCCTACGCGTCAGGACTGGCGCTCTTAGGGGAAAGTTATCACACCAATTAAATGGCTGTTTTCTCATCTGGAAGTCAGTGTAGGTCTGGCCTGGGCACCAAGGAACCTGGGCCCTCTGGTATTGAACTGCTTTAGCTGCTGGCGGGGGGAGGTGCCGCGGGGTGGATCGGTGATAGGGGTGACAGGAGTTAGGAGCCCGTTGTAATCGGGCCACCAGGCTGGCTGGCAGGCGTCCTGTAAAAGACTAGAGGCTGCCTCCAATGCCCCCCGGTGGGGACGCGCCGTCGCGGGCGGTCCCCCCGACCTGACAGTCCCACAACGTTCCCAGGGCAATGCGGTCGGATCAAGGCGAACAGCTCACACACTTAGAGCAAAGGCTGAAGCCAACAAGGACAAGATACGCCTTTGGCTGTTTTTAATACCTTCCCAGGGTAGCTGTTCTCTAGAGAAAGCCCAAGCAACGGTGGAGAAAGGAAACAATTACCAGAACCGGGTAGAAGGCGACCCTTCTGAACCAAAGAGACGGTGCTGTAGTGCTAATTAGACCCAGCAATCTGGAGTGAGGCTGTGTCCACCGCCAACGGCCTGTGGACCGTACATTCTGGCTCACATACCCGAGGGAAGAGGTAAAAAGGAACCATGTGCAGACTTCTTTCTGATGGCAAAGAGTGGAGGCCGGCGAGGAAGGCTGGCTTTCGCATTAGGTGCAAACTGGAGAGAACCAGACGTTCCGATGGGCAAAGACAGAATTGGGGCCTCCCTTGGAGACGCTCTGGGCCTCCAGTATTAAGAAACCCCACCCTCCACAAGACCCTTTGGTGGGCATGGAGCCCCAGGGAAGGGGCTGAGCATCTCATCTGGAGGCCGTGACCACCGGGAGTCACCAATGATCTAGGCAGAGTTGAGATCGAGTAGTTCCCACGCCTGACTTTGGGGAGAAAAAGCTCTGGCACGCACCGCCATCGGTCGTACTGGCAACAGAACCCATCGGCACCAACCATCGAATTTTAAACGCTTTGTAAACAGCTGAGAACGGATTTTTTTCCCCCCAAAACCCGGACTAGTTTTTACTTGTTTCGTACGCACGTAAAAGTGACAGGAGCTTCCCGGCAGCTGAGCCTGCGTGATTTAAGGCCCAACCCCGGCGCCCGGTGCCTGGGATGGAGGTTGCCTGCATAAAGGAGGCTGCGTGCAGACCCTGGGGGATAAATTTGTTGTGTTGTGGCTGCAGCTAGAGTCGGAATGAGTTTAGGAGGTCAGACCCGTATATCTCAGAGTCCAGGCCACAGAAGCAGCAGCTCCCGAGCCTTCTGTCCGCGGTGCGGTCGCCAAGAGCCTAGGATCAAGAGGTTTCGGACGAGCTCTGATAGGCCCCTGGGGTCCTCTGCCCAGTAAATGTGCAGAGATGGGAAAACAACACTTATTAATTTTGCTGCTGATTCAAAAGAAGGAGGTGTTGGCAGCACCTGTGAGGACAGAAGAGCACATAACCGAGTCTGCAGAGGTCACGCCTGGGACGTCACATCATGAGGCCGTGTGGGGAGGTGGGGTGGGGGGGGGACCAAGAGGAAGTGGCTCCATTGGGGGGGGGAGACGGCATCTGGATCTACTCAGCCGCACTGGCGATGGCGGTGACGGTGACCACGAGGGTGGCGGAGAGGTGCCACGGTCAGAAAGCTGCCCGTCTCTGGGGCTTGGAGCACCAAGGTGAGTGGAGAGAGGGCAAGAGGCTGTGACGGCGGGGGTCCCAGGGAGAGCGGGCGGGAGGGGTGGCGGGCAGGCCAGCAGCCGGAAGCACAGGGCAGGGTCCCCAGCGCAGGCAGTGTGGTACCCAGAAGGGCACCGTCTGGTATGCGGGGTGGCGGGGTGAGTTTCTACAGCAGGGCGGCTGCGGGGTAAGATGCTCTGCCGGTGACATCTGCCGGTGACATCTGCCAGCTCTGCCCCAGGGTGATGAGGCCTCCGAGCCCTCGCAAGAGCCTCCGCCCCTTTAGCCGAGCTGGCTGAACCCTCTGGATTGCACACGTGTGGAGGAGTGGCCAGGTGCTCTCCGTGCTCCCAGGAATCGCTGCTGGCGCCCCGGGCAGAGACGTCTGAAAGGCGCCTAGGCTTTGAAGAGGGAAATTCGGATGCCTCGGCAGGCCCCCAAGAGCAACGGAAGAGTGATTATTCTCGTTCTGCTGGAATTCTGCCGACGGGTCACGGTGTAAGGGGACGTGCCTCGCTGCTCTCAGCGTCGGGGGGACACCTCGGAGCCCAGGGCAGCACCCGGGAGAGGAACTCTGCTCCCCTGCCCTCGGCCTCACTCTTCCCCAGAGAGGAGACGCATTCGTTGGACCGGCTCCGTCCTCCCGGCTCCCGGCCTCCAGCTGGCCGGCCCTCGTCCCCACTGTGCCCTCCCCACTCCTGCCTGCACTCAGTCAGGCTCCCCCCGGGGCAGGTCTGAGGCCAGTCGCCCCGTCCCCACCGCCAGGGCTGGGCCATTTATCAGGAGGAGGCATCTCCACGGGCTCGGCCCCAGACCTGGATGGGAGAAACCGTGTCCGGAAGCCCAAATGTGCCCTCACGGCCCTGCCACGTTCTCCACCCGAGGCCCGCAGAGAACTCTGGGTCGGCCCCCCAGTGGGCTCAGAAGTCAGCCCCTGCAGTGATTTGCAGAGAAGCCAGGCTGCGGTCGGCTGAGCGGAGCTTCCGTGTTCAGCGTGACCTTCCCTTCAAATCCGAGTTCGGTCGGAATCGTTTACACTGTCTTCTTCCTGTTTCAGCCGGTGGCGAGCGGACCCCCGACCTGGTGGCTCCAGCCCTGCTCCCGTGCCCACCCGGGCGCGTGGCTGTGTCTGCGGCTTCCGCACGGCCCGTAATGACACCTGGTTAGTGGCGTTGGGTGTAAACCCTGTCCGTTATCCCTGCGAGATTGGGATTAGTGAAACGCCAGAATTTATTGCTTCCGTTGAGAACACACAGCAGTGGCTGCTGTTGTGTCTTCAATTCTGTAGCGAGTGCAGAAGCACAGAGCTGCACGTCCAAATCAACAGGGTGCAGAGGGGACAACGAAGGGCGGAGCCTTGGCCACGGAGGCTGCCGGTCCCCCCAGCTTTACGGGGACAGGTGCCCTCAGTCTCTTTGGTGGTCACCAAAACTCCCCGAGACAAACAATAATTCTGCCTCTTGCCCACCACTGCAAACTGGGGGTTTGTTTTCAGTGGTCGGGGAGCGAGAGGTCTGACGGGGCACCAAGAGCTGGCTGTGAGGACGGAGGAAGGGCCTCTGGGAGCCCGAGCGGCGACGAAACAGACTCTCCCGGGAGCCTCCAGGGGAAATCGTGGCCCCATCACACCCTGGTTCTGGAATTCTGCCCTCTACAACTGCCCGGTAATAAATGCGTGTTGTTTAAAACCACTAAGCTTAGGGGCGCCGGGGTGGCTCAGTCGGTTAAGCGTCTGGCTTTGTCTCAGGTCATGATCTTGCGGTTCGCGAGTCGGAGCCCCGCGCCAGGCTCTGTGCTGACAGCTCAAAATAAAGAAATAAGCTTTAAAAATAGACAAAGTGATGTAAATTTGTTAATTCACTACATTTGCCCACTTGCCCGGCAAATGTTCTCTAGGGTGCTAAGAACCAGCAGCACCCACCCCGGTGGATGGGACATGGTGTTGCTGGAGGGAGACTGTGCCCGAGTGTGCCGGGCCCTCCACGGACCCGCCTGCCGCGTGCAGGTCGCTCTCCGACAGCCCGCCTGCCGGGCACGTGTGTGCGCGCCACATCCCGTGCGCCCACGGGAACCCTGCGACCCGGGGACTCCTGTCCCCAGCTCACCACTGAGGCCTTGGGCTCTGACGAGGGCTGCACGGCTCGCGGGGGCGGCTCGGGGGTCCAAACCAGACAGGGAGGTGCCAGCGCTCACACTGGCTTGCAGTCCTGCCTCGAGCTTCCTGCCTCCGCTCGATTTACACCCCAGTGACGCAGGAATGAACGGACTCCCTCTCTGCACAGATCACTGTGTCCAAAGGGTCTGACCGCACCTCACCTGACCCTCACCCTGGGGGACGGGGGCATCTTCTAAGGGGGGGGCTTGGGAGAGCCATGCCAGGACGGAGTCGCAGGTGTCCCCCCCCCAGCTGGCGGGTCAGGAGCAAACGGCCCGTCTCCTGTGCTCCCCTCCACCTACTCTGTCCGGAAGATGGTAGGGGACGGCAGTGAGCGATCCGCCGGGAGGGCGTCCTCGCCAACACACGCCCTCCCCCAAGTACGTGTTCACACACACTTGGGGGACGGCACAGAGGAACCACACCTGGTGCAGGGCAAGAAGATGTGGGTGCAGGGAATGCCCTGCCGCGGGGGTGGGGACACCGGGTCCGGAGGGGCTCAGACGTGAGGTGGCCACGTGGCCTTGCGGATCATCTTGGGCTCGGGAAATCGAAATAGAATGATCTCAAAGGTGCCCTTGCTGGGGGCTGACCGACAATGCTCTCAGACGGTACATCGCAGAAGGGCCTGGAAGGACGATGTGGCCCGGCCTCCCCCCTCGAAGCCCCCGAGGACCAGGGGCCGGTGGACCCTTGGATCCGCAAAGCTGTCTGAACCTTCTGGCTTTTGACTTCCGACTCAACCGGAATATTTGTCCGCAGTATTTCTGTATGGCCAGCAATAAAGCTGTGGGCAGCTCCGTGGCTCTCAATCTTAAGTGTCAGCAGTTACGAAAAGCATCCGTTCTCGAGGAACAGAAACAGCCCAAACCTCCAGGAATAACAAGTGGTGTCCACAACCCACCCCCCAAATCGGGACACGGCTGGAAGCCTGCGGGCCCTGCTGGTGAACGAACACAGAACCTCTGCTGTCAGGAAAGCCCAATTTCCATCTCGCAGCCACCTTTCTGGGGCTGAGCCCCCACCAGTGCTCATGAGCCCCACACGGAGCGATTTGCACCAGCCCCCCCCCCCCCCCCCCCGAGCCCATATGGCTGTGGCAGTTGAGAGGAGTGTGACCTACCTGCCATCTTCTTTTGAAAATAGGGCTGGATGAGCTCGCCGACTTTTGACTTGTCTGCTACTGCCTCTTTCAACAGTTGCCCACAGTGGACTGGAGGAGAGAGGAACAGAAAGACACCCATGAAATTTTAAACAGAAGGAAGAATGAGAAAAAAAGAAGCCCCGGTGCCGCCTGCCAGGGGGGAGAAAAGGTCACTGAGAAAAAATATAAAAGGGTTTTTCTGAGGGTGGGGGTGTGTGTCCAAGTGAGAGCAAATATCAAAAAGGACCTGGGGAATAAAGAAGAAACCGAGGAGGACGGCTCGGAATGAAAAGGCATGTATCTGGCAGAGAACAGATTGAAAAGGGACGGTGCAGGGGCGCCTGGGTGGCTCGGTCGGTTGAGCGTCTGACTTCAGCTCAGGACATGATCTCACGGTTCGTGGGTTCGAGCCCCGCGTCGGGCTCTGTGCTGACGACTCGGAGCCTGGAGCCTGCTTTGGATTCTGTGTCTCCCTCTCTCTCTGCCCTTCCCCTGCTCATGTTCTGTCTCTCTCTCAGAAATGAATAAACATTAACAAATTAAAAAAAAACCAAAAACACCCCTAAAATGAACTGGGAAAGGTGAGTGTTTAAGGCAACAACCATCACCAAAGATTTATCCCTCAGTGACAATGTGCTTAATTTGCTGCGTGAAGGACAGCAGGGATCATATCCAAAGCAGCTGGCAGTGTCCCTCACTAAGGGAACACGGGTGACGACAAAGGCTGATGGTGTCTGAGACCTTCCTACGTACCTAGCAGTGTGCTGGGTATGCAAAGAGGTGGACCAAACCGTCCCGGGGTGCAGAGCCCTAGGCAGCCGAGCTGGGATTCAAACCCACGTCTGTGTGACATCAAACCCACGCTTGGCTTCCCGTTCTGGCCAGGAAGGAGTGGCAGATGTCGTGTGTACCCTCTGTCACAGAAAGCTGTAAAACTGGGGCACCTGGGTGGCTCAGTCGGTTAAGTGTCTGACTTTGGCTCAGGTCATGATCTCACGGTCCGTGAGTTCGAGCCCCGCGTCGGGCTCTGGGCTGACAGCTCAGAGCCTGGAGCCTGCTTTGGAT